TTGCCGACCTCTTTCCTGGAGTGCAATATATTTTGGACTCCTCCATTTTGCCAACAAAATTTTAAAGGTATCCTTATGCATGAACTCGGGCAACTTCTTCTCCCTGACCCACGCCTTTCGAGCTCGATGAAGCTCGTCTCGAAAACGATTTTGACAATGTAATCTCCAGACTTTATACACACGAGCATCATCCTCTTCCCAATAATATGTCCTCTGCAATGAAAAAAAAAATTAAATGTTAATAATTTATTTAATTTTTCTTTAAAAATAGCAAAATTTTGCTTAAATTGTCATTTTTTTTCACTATTATAAATAAAATATAAAAACTCATATAAAATATACCTTGTACTTCCATATCAAATACCATAAGAGTAAGGTGATAGCATCTAAATAAATTCTCATAAAATACTTCATTTTATTCTATAATTTTCATACCTGAAAATTCTCTCAAGCAATCCTCTTCTTTTCCTCAAGCCAGCTATACCAGAAAAGTACTGGCTCATCATACAAGTACTTCCAGATGACTGTGGCAGTCCTCCCAAACCTCTCATGGCTGAATGTGCCTTAGCGATTAAGGCTAAGCACCTTCCTTTGACTCGGGTCTGCAGGAGCGTCATCTTCTTTATCCATGCCACGTCCTGTCTTCGGGACAGCACGTGATAGCTCCTCCTCCAACTGAGCATCTAACTCAGGATCAAGCACAGCATACTCAGCCTCCAACTCAACCTCCAAATTACACTTTTCAGTGTCCTCCTCCATTGTCGCATCATCACCAGTGAACTGATCATCAGCCAATGGTGGCTGAGTAACAGTGGGTTGCTCCTGTTGCAACTGTGTAGCTAGGCAGCTGCTGCTATGTAGGAACAGCCCTACGAGGCCCCCGAATAAGACGACGAAATGACCTCTGTGGTTCTCCCTCTGGATCAACCTGCTATCTAGAAGAAGATGCACCTCGCGTACCTCGTCTCATATCTGTATACAAAAAATAATGGAAACACATCATCTTCCTTTTCAAGAAGAAAAGCCAAATTTTTTTTTAAAAAAAAATAGAATAAATATCAATACACAACTAAATATATATAAATAACTAAGAATATATTAAATATATATTTATAAGTAAATGGATATATATATTTATATAAATATAATAATATATAAATATAACTTCACTATAAATATCAATATAAAGAATTATAGCAAACATGTTGATATAAAGTTAAATATAAAAGTCATTAATGGAAACACATAATAAAGCAAATATAAGTAGTCCTACATCATTTGTTCAATTAATTAAAAAAATCAAATAAGCTACATTTAGTCACTATCACTCTCAGTTAAGTAATTTAGAACTTCTTCTTCCGATGTTTCCGTTCCATCAAACTCTTCCTCTTCATCATCATCCTCACCCACACATTCTTCCTCTGTCACATATGGCAATTGCATGACCTCACTAATCACCACTTCTTCTCCCCCTTGAGATGCTAGTGAAACATGATAATTTAAAACAGTCGAGGGTTGCACCAATTGTGGCATAGGAGGATCATCGTCTTGATAATAAACATTTCCACCATCACTTAATGATGAAGTGTCGATTATTGCTCTTGCTCTAATCTTACATGCAGCAAACCACCCTTTTCTACAAGGATTTTGAGATGGGTAATGGGCATAAAACACTTATTGAGCTTGACTGGCCAATATGAATGGTTCATCTGTTTGTAATTTAAACCGAGGATTTATGTCAACTATACCAGATGTCAGATGGACCACAATGCCTTTGTTGATATCATACCACTCACACTTGAACAAAATCACTGATTGATGAACATATGAGTCAAAATACTGAAGCTCAATTATTTCCTTCAAACTTCCAGAATAATCTGACTCATCATTGAAAGTGGCTCCCTTCACACAAACACCGCTATTCATGGTCTTTTTATTTTGTCCATATGCGATAGTATGAAACCGAAATCCATTAACCCAATAACCATTGTATACCCTAACGTTATTGACTGGGCCAGTTACTAAAGGAAAAAGGCGAGAATCAACCTCATATCTTCCACTACGCACCTATATTTGTTATAAAAATATTTAATATTTAATCCTAAAATATATAAAAATTGAGATCTTACT